TCCAACTCTCGGTCCCTCAGACCTGGAAATGCTAGGTCCTCCACCCTCAGATCCCTGGTACTCTCAGACCTCCAACTTTCTGATCTTTGGGACCCTCAGACCCCCAACTCACACATCTCTGGGACACTCAGGCCTCCGAGCTGCAAATCTTTGTGACCCTCAGACCTCCAACTTTCTAGTCTTTGGGACCCCAGATTCTTGAGACTCACAGACTCCCAACTCACAGATTCCTGAGATCTTTGGACCTCTGACTTGCAAATCCTTGTGACCCTCACACCTTAACTATCAGATCTGCAGGACTCTCAGAACCTCAACTCATAGATCTTTGGGATCCTCAGACCCCCAGGACCCTCAAACCCCCAACTCACAGATTCCTGAAATCCTTAGACCCCTCACTCTCAGATCCCCCAACTCACATATTCCTGAAATCCTAAGACCCTTGGAACCATCAGACCTCCAACTCTCAGATCCCTGGGACCCTCAGACTCCAGACCCTAGGTTTGCTGCTCACCCAGGTTGTAGTAAGAGTAGACCTTGACTGATCCAGGCTGGATAAGCCCTACATTGAAGTACTGGTGAACTTTGAAGGATATGCATGTTTCCTCGGAGTTTGAGATCTGAAGGGGAAGAAGGAGGTTGATTAGTGGGACACATGGGAGGAAGTCCAGCATAGGGAGTACAGGGAGTTGGAGCAGCAGTGGAAAAATTGAGGGATTGAGTAGGGTTACAGATGAGGGGAAGAGGAAGTGGCAAAAATGAATGTTTCTTTTTCTCCTAGGCTCACAGCTAGGCTATGTGAGGGTACTTCTAAAAGTTCATGGAAAAACAGCATTAAAAGAGAATGCAAAAATTTCTATGAATGTAATGAAGAACCCTTATATTTCTCAGCGTCCCTTTCAATTAGGTGCTGCCAGATGACTGAGCTCTGGCCAACGATTGCTAGCTATGCCCATAAAACATCTCACACACAATCCTCTTTTCTTCTAGAAAGAACGGATCCTGTAGAGGACTCCAAAATCCTAGGGATTGTTGAGCCACAAGATGGAAGGTGCTTGGATCCCTGAGTGACTGCATGGAGCAGAAGGCCCCTTCCTTACCTCCCAAACCAATTCCACTTATAAGAGCAAGAAATACAACTCTATTATGTTGAGACCCTGTATTCTTAGGAGTTTTGTTCTAGTAGCTAGTGTTACTTATCCTTATTAATGTGCTGTTGAGGGGCACTGGGAGTTAAAAGGGAAGATATGAGAATAGGAGAATGGGTAGAAAAGGGGAAAGACCAAATTATGGTAGAGATGAAGAGAGCAAGAGAATACAAGATGGAAAGAGAGTAAGAGAAGAGAGAAATAGATGCAGAGAGAGGAACAAAGCTGGAGCTAGGGTAGGGAGCAAGGCAGGTTCTTTCTACTAAGCACTTTTTAGATAAAACCAAAGTGGGTCTTTTTCAATGGTTTCTTAAAACTATGACGAGAAGTAGGAAATGAGTTTGGAACAACAGCGGTCAGAAGGCGAGATGCTCATAGAAGGTGGTTCTGCATTGACCACCTTGTTTTACAACCTCCTTCCTTCCCACCCCTCATCCCTCTCCCAACAGTGCAGACCCTGTATCCCCCTAGCCTGGGGCTAGCTTGACCTGGGGACAAGGGCCAAAAGAGAAGAAAACACCAGCCAGGTAGGGGCCAAGGTACCCACGGAAACCTCCCAGGAGAGGATGAGCCTCACCTTGTCCAGGTAGATGATGAGATTGCTCTTGGTGGAGAAGGCTTTGTTCAGCTCATACTTCGAGATGTATCTGTCGACTTTAGTGCTCAGCTGGGGAAAGGTGCGGCTTGTGAAAATCCCTCCCAGACCCCTTCTCTCCCTGAAGCCTCTTCCAGACCCAGGCTCCTTCCCACTGATTCCAGCTCCTAAGCCCTCCATACCAGATCAAGGTCTGCAGTGTCAGGAGCAAAGCCAGTCATCATGGATATATCCAGGATTGACATAGTGGCATCCTGGTCTCCCAGGTACCTGGATAAGGAAGGGAGAGGGTGTTGGGTCCCAGAGTGGGGTTGGCCCCAGGGATCTTTGCCTGGACAAGGGGGGATCTAGTCAGGGACTAAGGCTTCTGGCTTCCATATAGCAGCATAGAAGGCAATTAGATTTTAGGAAACACTTCCACAAAGAGAGAAAAGGAAAACTGGTGTAATAGTCAAGGTGATTAAAAAGCTCAGACTGGATCCAACTGCATGGGTCCAAATCCCAGCTCTATATAACATTTGATGAGTTATTTAACCCTTTCTTAACCCTTTCGTGCCCAGTTGTTCTAGAGAATGAGGACAAGTGTACAGGCAGTCCTCACTTTGCATGATTCAGTTAAATAACACCAGTCGCCCAATGACCCGGTTCAAATGTCAGTACCTTGGTAAATTAATTGTGTCATTGCACAACGTACAAATTTTGTTGCTAACTCTTCAGTGCACACATGACTACATAAATAACAGATGTACATCATAACTAATGACCAGTCGTACCACTCCTTTCAAAGTCTGTTGGTGATTGGTCACTGAATATCCATTATTCAATCCACACACAGACAGCAAAGTACATAATTGTGTTGCCTCCTTGTCTCCCAGTGATGAACCCACATGACATTTTACAAAAATAGATCCTTGAAAGAGGAAATTGGCCAAGAAAAATAAAAATGCAGCTGAGAAATGAAAAGTGATAATCATGAATGAACTTTGACTAGAATGTAAATGGAGTTAGTTATAGAAGAATAGCAGACTGAGAAAATGTTGACCCTGTACCATTTCAGACCTGTGAGATATGCAGCCAGAGGGACTTAGTGAAGGCAAATTTATCAGCATAAATGAGGAAGATGGTAGAGGCTAAAATGATGAAGATGTCCCAGAGGAAGTGATGCTGGGTGAAGGGAGAAACTTCATGTTAAAAGAACTCTTGGAGTAATTCTATGACATTGTGAGAACTCAAAGAATAAAATATTGGGAGCTGATCCAAACTTAGAAAGGAGCATGATAGAGTTTGGATATGTTGTCCCCACCAAAACTCATGTGGAAATCTGATCCCCAAAATGGCAGTGCTGGAAGCTGTTTGAGTCATGGGGGCAGATCCCTCATGAATGGATTAATGCTCTCCCTGGGGGAGGGGGGTCTAAGTGAGTTCTTGCTCTATTAGTTCCCATGAGAGCCGGTTGTTTAAAAGACCCTGGCACCTCCTCTCTCTCTCTTGCTTCCTCTCGCCATGTGATCTGCTTGTACCCACCAGCTCCCTCCCACTTTCCATCATGAGTAGAAGCAGCCTGAGGCCAGTGCCAGATGCAGCTGTCCCAGAATCATAAGCCCAATAAATCTCTGTTCTTTATAAATTACCCAGTCTCAGGTGTTCTGTTATAGCAGCACAAAACTGACTAATACAGAGCATGACAGTTCATGATGGCATAGAAAAGATGCTTACTCCATATGGTAAGTTATCTGACGAGAAGAAGGCAAGCACTGTCTGAACTACAGTGCTCCCCACAAGTGTTTCACAAAATTAAAAAAAAAACAACAACTTTAATCTCACTGTTCTAATGTTTTATGTTATAGCAAACTCAATAAATACTACAGTTTTCATTTCCCTATGCCTTTATAACTGGCAGTATGAGAATTTTTAATGTTGTGATAGAAAGTTTTAAAGGTCATGGAACTATTGTAATTTCTCCCATTGATTATTAAGATCACTTTCCATGACCTCAGCATACATGGTCATTGCTATCTGTGCTCTCTACATCATAGATAAATGGTACGCTAGGGAAGTATGGAATATCACAGATATTGTTTGTAAGAAGTCTTGCCAGAGACAGGAATGGCC